ATACAGGTTTATATGACATTCTCTGGGAAAACACACGGAAGGGAAGAATTTGTTCTCCCTAGGGGAGGAGGGGTTGGAAAAGCTTCATAAAGTTGCCAGAATGCTTGGGAACTTATAAACTGGTTCCATAATTATAGTTTAAGATGGAAAATAGATCCCTGCATCAAATACTGGTGATTAGTTTTGGGGACCATGGCAGCTATTTGTTCGGGCCACCACTGCTTCCAAATTGGCCCGTCAGGGTGCCAGGAATTTTGCCCAAATGCCTGCTGGTATCTGCTGAAGTGATGGCTGGTAACCAGGCAACCCGGTCAGCATATTGTTTCATTAAAATTGTGTGTGTGTGTGTGTGTGTGTGTGTGTGTGTGTGAAAACTACTTCACATAATCACAGTCTTAATATCACATATGATATTTTAAATCTAAATGAAAACCATCCATTTTCAAGCTTATGGCTACCTGGAATAGGGTAGTAACTCCTAATCATGTGTTCCTTGCCTGCTCCTGTCTCTCAACTGCACACATCCCTGGAGGCTGCTGTTTCTATATTCTCTCCTTCAGGGAGTTCCTGTCTTTTCTAGGCTAGAACTACCGTAAAATTCCTATAAAATTAAGCTTAAAACCACAAGCAAAGCATGGCTTTAAAACATACGCTACAAAAGCTTCTTTGTTTGCTCTAGAGGGGGATGTGTGGGGAGGTACAGTGGGCGGCTGGTACCCAGATACCGATGTCGTGGCTCGGGCATCGGGCAATCCGGAGGCTTCCCTAACTGGCTCCATTTCCTAACTGTGGCCTTGGGCAAGTTACTGACTTCACCTCCTTAAGCCTACATTCCTGATCCATGAAAGAGTGAAAATAATAGTATACCGGTAGCAGGATGATTGCAGGACTAATGAAATCATGCAAAAGCACTTATTGACTGGTTTGTAATGTTACCAATAAGTGCTAGTTGTAATGATAATTATTATTACATTTAACAATGGCAGGATGAACTAATCTGGGTGACAGTGATTTGCAACCTATGAAGCTCTGTGAAAATGTGAAATAGTATTATTATGGTGTCTAGTGTTGAGTGAATGCCAAAGAGCTGGTAGAAAGAGAAACAAGCAGGAAATCAGGAAAGCTGGATCCCTTTTTTCTCTTTCTAAAGGTTTTATTTATTTATTTGAGAGAGAGAAAGAGAGTGCACAGGAGCAGAGGAGAGGGCATAGAGGGAGAGGGAGAAGCAGACTCCCCACTGAGCAGGGAGCCCAATTCCAGGACTCTGAGATCATGACCTGAGCGGAAGGCAGGTGCTTAACTGACTGAGTCACCCAGACACCCCAGGAAAGCCAGATCTTAATGCTACTCTTGCCATTAACCCTGCACTGTGACCTCGGGCCAGTCTCTTTCTGAGCCTCAGCTTTCTGGCTTGTAAGTAAAGCAGTTTGGTTAGATTATCTTGAGATCAATCCCAGCTCTGAAATTCTATGATTCCATGAATATTGGAGCAAATAAGTGACATAGCACAGCTTACACAGTTTTTGGAATAGAGTGGAAGGTCAATACATACTATGTGGTTCATGCCTGAGGTTGATAAAAGTTAACCCCAACTGCAGCAATCAGAAAGAGCAATCTGGGGGAATTCAGTGAAAAGGCAAACTAATCTGCCACACCTCGGGAATCTTGGAGGACATTACTGTGGCAGAAAGTAATAATTTCTATCATCTATAATGGCAATACTAAACTCAAAAGTAATAATTTCTATCTATAATGGCAATACTAAACTGAGACACAGTCTCTATTCCCGAGGAGCTGACAAACTATTGGATAAAGCATTATAATGGTGGGGATACCTTTACACTTTTGGCATAATCCTGTATAGTGCTAATATTGCTCATATATTATTTGTCCATTGTTCTGTAAAAATATAGCTGCTTGTGTATTCACCTCTGACTTTGCTTCTCCACCCTCAGCCCTCCAGCAGCTTCTGGATGTTAAATATTATCTCTTCATGTGAGTGGTACCAGAAGGAAGAGTCATATATTACTCTTTTACTTTCTAGGAGCCCCTTGCACTGGTTTGCAGGGCAGCTCTGGATTCTTTCTTATTCTTTTCAGAGGACAGATCAGTTGAGATATGGCTGCTTGGCCTGAGTCTTCCCCAGGGCTCCAATTTTATTTTTCCTGTCCACTCTGCCCCTTGGCCCTCAATTAAGACAAAATAACCAGAAATGATAACAATAACTAGACAGTGCAGTGTGGTGGCAGCACTTCGATCAATCCATGGATAGGCTAAATATTTCTTTTGCTACTATAGCAACTACTATTGAATGCCTTGTCACTTACCTTAGAAACTCTTTGGAAATGTGGAAGTGGTTTTGCATGTAAATGCTTAAATCACCTCATTTAGTGAAGACACTTTCATCTCCCTCCAAGATTCTTCTTAAAGAGACTTTTACTATTTTTTTTCAGATATCATTAGAAATGTAGAATGCCGTATTGATAGATTTCCCCCAAACTCACTGATTTTCATACTCCCTGAGAGTGACAAGGATATTATGAAAACCACAATAGAAAAAATTTCCATAAAAATACTTAATCAAAAATAAAAGACCTGATGCTTAAAGATACTTCCAATTATCTGGAAAATTGATGAGATAATTGAGTGCTCATTTAACAATTCATTAGATAAACATGTATTAAATGCCTAAAAGTATTGTATGTGCAGAGCCCTTCAAACATAAAAGAGATTAAGAAATGGTTGCTACTTTCAAGGAGTTCAATTAAAAATTGCTTGCTTTATATCTTGTACAAATACCTAATATTTTATAAAATATTTTCCATATGTAGCAACTCATTTCATCCTCAGAACAATCAATCCTTGTTTCACACTTCATAAACTTGAGGTTTATTGTTGCTCACTGTTATTTGGCAACCAGAATGTTCATTTTGATTCCTGGTTTGATTTTATGTGCCTCATGACTAAGAGTTCACAAAGCATTCATTGGAAATAAAGTTTTTTCATCTTCTTGCTCTCTAGTCCTTGTTCCTCTTAGGTCTGAGTTCCCTCCTGAAAGTGTCAAGGACTAAAATGACTTTTCAAATTCTCTGGCAGGGACCTCTACTGCACACCTGTGGTGGGGACCTGGTTCTTGAATTCCTCTCCCTTTTTATTTTTTAATTTTTAAAAGATTTATTTATTTATTTATTCATGAGAAACATAGACGAGATTGGGCGCATTCAGGGTGGTATGGCCGTAGACCATGAGAGACAGAGAGAGACAGAGAGAGAGAGAGAGAGAGAGAGAGAGAGAGGCAGAGACATATAGGCAGAGGGAGAAGCAGGCTCTTTGCAGGAGCCGGATGCAGACTTGATCCTGGGATCACAACCTGAGTGGAAGGCAGCCACCCAACTGCTGAGCCACCCAGGCATCCCTTATTTTTTAATTTCTTAAAAAATATTTTATTTATTTATTTGACACAGAGAGAGCATAAGCAGGAGGAGGTGCAAGCAGAGGCAGAGAAGCAGGCTCCTCGTAGAGCAGGGTGCCCGATATAGGGCTCAGTCCCAGGACTCCGGGATCATGACCTGAGCTGAAAGAAGGCAGACACTTAACCGACTGAGCCAACCAGTTGCCCTTTGGATTCCTCTCTTACCCAAACTTCTAGACCAGAATTCAGGAGTACATTGCTACTTCATTTTTGCTTTCTAATTTCCCTTTATTCCACTCCTGATCATTCCTTCCAGGTCATTTGCCATCTTGGACTATTTTCTACCAAAAGGTTGAAAGAATTGGGCAATTCTGGATTTATCCTGTCCCATGTTTTCATGTAGAGAGGAGGAAACTGGGGCCCACAGCCATCAGTTGTAATGCCAAAGCCACACAGATAGGTGGTAGAGCTGGACTTGAACCTGAGAGGCTATGTTTTTTGACCAGATGTCTTTTAAAGGCATCAAGGTGTGTTTAAAAGCCATCTATCAAATGATATACTACTCTTCCTCCTCGGATTAAGAGCTTCTTTTACCTTGCTAATATGTAAACATTTGGTTACTGTTACAACAGAAATCTACCCAGTTTTATAATGTTTCACAGATCACATGGTTGTGTTTTTCCAGAGTATACCTGTTCACCAAGGAATTAAGTAGTGACTGAGTCCATTACTGAGCATCTACTATGTACCAGGCATAACAGAGGCATCAGGAATATAAAAACCACCAGCTTTGGGCCTGCCTTTAACTAAAAGTATTCTTTGGATCTGTGTAAGATCATTCAACCGTGGATTACTAGTAACCAAATAATTTTAGTGTAAATAGTCCTGTAAATGTGAGAAAAATTAGTAACAAGAAGAACTGAGCTCCAGTAAGGTGTTGATGCAGTCCTTGTGGCCTTTAACCCGAACATTTAGGATTTCGCAGCGCAGAGGACCCAAGAAGTGCTATTCGAATGTCACCAACCGTGGTTTTATTTTATTTATTTATTTATTTATTTATTTATTTATTTATTTATTTATTTATTTATTTAAAATTTTATTTATTTATTCATGAGAGACATACAGAGAGAGAGGCAGGCTCCGTGCAGGGAGCCCGACGTGGGACTCGATCCTCGGTCTCCAGGATCACACCGCGGGCTGAAGGCAGGCGCCAAACCGCTGAGCCACCCAGACATCCCCACCAACCGTGGTTTTAACAGTCTCCTGGGGGATCCCTGGGTGGCTCAGCGGTTTAGCACCTGCCTTCGGCCCAGGGCGTGATCCTAGGGTCCCGGGATCGAGTCCCACATGGGGCTCCCTGCATGGAGCCTGCTTCTCCCTCTGCCTGTGTCTCTGCCTCTCTCTCATGAATAAATAAATAAAATATTAAAAAAAAAAGTCTCCTAAATTGCTAGTAAGCTGTCAAGAGCGCTCCATCCCGGCCGGTCTACTCCTTTGATTTGCCTTCTTTCCCCTGCAGCGGGCTCCACCACCCGCCCCCGCGCGCCCCGCCCCGCGCTCTTGCACGCTCTTCCCCGGTCCCCGGGGGCCGGGCCACCTCGGGCCACCCGTCGCGTGACTCCCTGCTCCGGACCATGGCGGCGGCGGCTTGGGGCCGGTGCCTCCCTCGGGCGTGGCTCCGCAGGTGGGGCCCCGACTGCCCCCGAGCCCCAAGGGCGGCCGGGGCTCCCCCACTGACGCGCCGCCCCTCGCTGTGGTGCAGGAGCGCGGGCCCGGGCCGCGGCCGTCACTACCGCGCCGCACTCTGCGTGGAGCCCAAGCAGCCCCTGGCCGTCGAGGAGGTGGGCCCCCGGCCTGTCCGGCCTCACGAGGTAGGGGGGGCGGCCCCCCGGGGCCCCCGGGGCTCGCGGTCACCCTGCCCGCGGCCGCCACGCACACCCCACCCGGCAGGCCGCGTCCCGCTCGGAGTTCCCGAGTGCTCGGCTAGGGGGCGCCCGGGAGCCCCGAGCGCAGCGGCCTCCTTTGCCACCCCCCCCCACCCAAACGTGGGCCTCTTGCCCAAGGCCCCAGAGCTGTTGCCTTAGAAACAGACAATTCTGAGTCGCACACGACTTTGCATAAGCACTTGCAGGGTATTGCTTCAATACACATAAGTGGACCCCATCCTTGGCTTCCGCTTCGGTGTCAGCATTTAATGATCTGTCCTCCCTCCTCTCCCAGACCAGTCTGGTCACGTCTGTCCTGTAATTCTGAGTATGTGCCTGGTGCCCTCCTTTGGTGTAGTGCAGGGATTTGGGGTGGGGGTATTTAGGATCGTGGCCATTTCCAGTGAAATGTGGAGGTCACTTTGGCCCTGCTGGGTAACCCCTCTGGTGACACAGTGTCACCTCGAATGGAGAATGAGAACCTCTGACAAGGTCAAGCAAGCAGTGAGCCTCAGTGTCAGGGATCCCTGGTGAGAGGGAGCCATGCAGCTTCAGTCCTGAAGTGTCACACTTTGCTAGCAGGGACCCTGTTGTGAAATGGATTATTTGAGCGGGCATATGATGGCAGCCGGTCTGCTTCCTGGGATTCGTGTGCTGAAGGAGGGTCATTCTTGAATTATCCTTGAATCGAGGTGGAACGGCTTGAGGACCTGTGTGCGCCACACATGTCAGCAACCGATGTGTCATGCACACACGGTGCTGCGCAGGTTGAAGGCTGGGCTTCTTGGTTCTGGTATTTGCCCAGGCACTGCCTCGTAGGAATTAGCTCAGGAGAGTTGGGTCTCTGTGAGTTTACTCACCATCAAATCCTCATGCTCTGGAATGGTGCCTGGCACATGGCAGACACTCAAAACATCGCTGAATGGATGCATTTTGTCCATAGAAGTATCTTCTCACCAACATGGCTTCCTCTGTACTAAATTGGGAATGTGAGCAAACAAATAAATGAATGTCAGTGATTCTCTCTCTCAGCCTTCGTTTTCTCCTGTTTCTCGGCCCTGTTCTCCCTCTTCAGCCTGTATCACAATCACCTGGGGCTCGTTAGAACAGATTGCTGAGTTTTGTCCCCAGAGTGATTCCATAGATTGGGGTGACGTCTGAGAATCTGAATGGCTAGGGAAACTCCCAGGTGACACTGAAGCCAGTGGTCTGGGAACCAGACTTTGAGAACCACTGGCTTCCAGGGTCTAGAACAAGTGCTGGCTACACTGTGCAAGGCTGCCTGTGCTCTGGCATGGGCATGAAACACAGAAGCTTGAGACCTAGAACTGGCCTCCAGGATGGTAGCTGATCCCTAGAAAATAGCTGGTCACGTTACCCCTCTGCTTAAAACCCTTTAAATTTTTTTTTATTTATTTAAGATAGTCACAGAGAGAGAGAGAGAGAGAGAGAGAGAGAGAGAGAGAGGCAGAGACACAGGCAGAGGGAGAAGCAGGCTCCATGCACCGGGAGCCCGATGTGGGATTGATCCCGATCCTGGGTCTCCAGGATCGCACCCTGGGCCAAAGGCAGGCGCCAAACCACTGCGCCACCCAGGGATCCCTGCTTAAAACCCTTTAATGGCTTCCCACTGTTCCTACTGTGAAGACGCAGAGCCTCAGTAAAGACTACACCCCACTGGATGGTGTCGTCTCTGCTCTGTAGCCCTATCTCTTTCACCTCTTTGTGCTCTAAGCTCGCTGGTTTTTCTTTTGTGCCTATCACAGGACTTTTGCACATGCCATCATAACAAAAGGCCAGATGACCCTATTATGCACTTTTATAGCACCATGTATTTCTCTCTAACATTTTGTGTAGGAGTTGTAATTTAACACACAAAGCATCACAGTTATTTGGCTGATGTCTGACTAATCCCATCCAAGTACTAACCAGGCCTACCCATGCTTAGCTTTCGAGATTGGATGAGATCGGGTGTGTTCAGGTGGTACAGCCGTAATCTGATGTCTGTCTCTCCCATAGTCTTAGCTCCATGAAGGCAAGAACCTTGTCCATTTTGCTTCATGATTACACACTGGCACTTAATTCAGTGTTTGGCATATAGTAGACATTCAGGAAATATTTTGGTGCAGTTGAATGAACTTCGTCCCCACAGACATGAACTCTGCTTTGTTGCTGTTTCCTTTTTTTTTTTTTTTAATTAAGGATTTTATTTATTTATTTGAGAGAGAGCAGAGCAGAGCTGCAGAGGGAGAGGAAGAAGCAGGTTCTCCACTCAATAGGGAGCTCAATGTGGCACTTGATCCTAGCACCCTGGGATGACCACCTGAGCTGAAGGCTGAAGTAAAAGAGAAAGCACCCAGGCACTTTCTGCTCTTATGTTTCCTTTGCAGGTCAGGGTTGATGTCCATTTCTGTGGAGTTAATTTTGCTGATGTTTTGGTCTGTCGTGGTCAGTATCAGGAAAAACCCCAACTTCCTTTCACACCTGGTGAGTATGAAGGGGCCAAATGACTGGTTGGGAAAGAAGCTACAGAGTTTTCAGAACCGTGTGCTTCATCACTGGTGATGCTTGCCTGCTGGCAGTGATGCTTTGGCTTTGTCAGCCTGGCCGCTAATTAGAAGCACTAGATTGTGAGCCCCCTGAGGGAAGGTTCTATGACTGTCTCGCCCCTGGTTTTATCCCCTATCTTAGCATTGTGCCTGGCTCCTAGTAGATGCTCAACAAAAACTTTATTTTATTTTTTAAAAATATTTTATTTATTTATTCATGACACACACACACACACACACACACACACACACACAGGCAGAGACACAGGCAGAGGGAGAAGCAAGCTCCATGCAGGGAGCCTGATGTGGGATCACGCCCTGGGCTGAAGGCGGCGCTAAACCGCTGAGCCACCCGAGCTGCCTTCCACAAAAACTTTAATGATGCATAAATGAACAAATGAATTTTTACATATTGTGTTCAGCAGAATTCTGATCAGATTCCTCGGCCCTCGTCATTCCCTTTCATACCTTGTTAGTGCCTCAGTTTTGTTTTTTCACTGAAGGGTCATAAACATCTGTTTGCAGCTAAAACTCTCAGTCCTCTCAAACACATTCCTAAAGAAACCGAATATCAAAAGATCAGAAAGAAGAAAAAGAGTTTATACATTTCTAGCAGTCCACTGTCTGATTTTAATTATGCCCAATCTGATTACATTTAGATCTCAAGTATGCGGACAAATGACTGCTTTTTGTTGCTGGAATTTAGTTAAAGAGATATAAGTATAGCCTGTTGTGTATATAGTACATGTATATTTTATACAGACATATACTATTAAGGATACAGTGATTGCAAAATAGTTTCTGTGTTTTGGCCTCAGGATGTTTGGTTGTGTCTCAACATTTGGAACCATTTCCCTCTGTATTTGCTGACATGCTGGATGGGGGGAAATGTCATACTCAATTGAGTTATTCCTCTGGCAGCTCAAGTGGGAAATGTATGATCGTTAAATTCAGAAATTTTGGAGGTGAATAGTAAAGAGCGGACATCAGTTCATCCAAATAGAAACAAGAACTTTATGGATAAATATAGTTCATCCCCTTGAGGGCCTCATAGTCCACAAGAGGAGACACAGAAACAGATAAATGTAATATGATGAATGTTGTAATTGGGGTACTGTAAAGAGCCCAAGGCCCCAGTGAGCAGGATCAAACTTACTTGTGTATCTGTGATTCTGTTTTTGCCCATTCTTGAAATTTTCAGTTGTGTCTTGGTAAGAATGGGGACTGCCATAGCTTTTCAGGTTGTGATCATTAAATCTTAAGTTCCGGGCAGCACCCATGGTCCAGCGGTTTAGCGCTGCCTTCAGCCCGGGGCGTGATCCTGGAGACCCGGGATTGAGTCCCACGTTAGGCTCCCTGCATGGAGCCTGCTTCTCCCTCTGCCTGTGTCTCTTGTCTCTCTCTCTCTCTCTCTCATTGTGTGTCATGAATAAATAAATAAAATCTTAAAGAAAAATAAATCTTAAGTTCCCTTTCCTGTGTTTTAGGTAGGATGTTCTTCCTTCAGGGGTGGGGGGACACTAAAACTGTCTCAGCTCTAGAAAACGGATAGAACGGCTTGTTGATCAGGCTTTTTTTGTCTCTGTGGAGCTGGGCTTTCTAGATAACCTAGTGTTTAAACCATTTGTTTTAGGAATGGAGTTTTCTGGGATTGTATTGGAGACAGGCGCAGATGTCAGCACAGTGAAAGAGGTAAATGAGTTGAAATCTAAGGAATTGATGTGTGTGTAGCTATGAGACATGTGCTAACCTCATCTACAGCCAAAGGATCTTACTTCTCTTGGCCTTTGCCAACAGACACCAGAGGGGAAACCGAGATGAAGGGGGAAGAAATGAATTCTGAATTGGAGGAAGGAAGCCAGTGGAAGTTCCTGGCTTCGTAAAACCTTTTATTACTAAAGAAGGCAGTACCTTAATCTTCAGTCACTGAGAGGATAGAAAATTCTCAAATTTCAGCCTCTTGTGAAAAAAATTCTGGGATTCTAATTTACTTCAACCTTTTCCATTCTCTGTCCTGTCCAGAATGTGCTCATAACATCTTGGCATCCCGGTGGGGGTATTGAGAAAATGGTTGAATTATTTACCAAACATTAACTCTGAATAAGTGATTACGGCAAACCTATGTCTTATGGGGTCAGAGAGAAAGATTTTCTTTCTTTCTTTTCTTTTTTTTTTTTTTTTTGATTAATTTGGGAAGAGGTAAATGGCAAGGCCATGCATTTGAACAAGCCCTTAATGGTATTTTCTCTTCAGGGAGATCGAGTTATTGGCGTGAGTGGCTTTAATGGTATGGCTGAAGAATGCATCATTGACCAAAAGGTATCCCTAGCTCTCAATATTGATGCTTGGAGATTTTTTTTTTCCTCATTTCTTTTCTTTAATCTCCACCTAGCTCTCATTCCTTGTTACCCTTCTCTCCCCCTTCTTTGTATTTGTTGTCTTTGTATTTGTTCCTCAGCCAAAACTTCTTTCAAATGCTAAACCCTTTTCTGTATCCCTGTGACAACCCTGCACAGAGCTTTGTTTGTGTGGAGCGGTGTGACGAAGAAGGGCATTTTGTTTTCTGAGTCCTGGAGCAACTGACTGGCTGTCCCATTGGATTATAGGTAGTTTTGGTAGAAAAACTGGTTTGGGGCATTGAGCTGGATATAATAGGTTTCTCCCGGACGTGCAGCTTGTGAAAGAGATAGTCCTGGGAATGGAGCCAGCCAGGGTGGTGGGCTAGGGTTGCGCAGGATGTGAATGGCGGCCTCTAGTGGTGAAGAGTACACAGCTTTTTCCACAGTTTTATTGAGGTAAAGTGTCCATAGAACCATCTCTGAATGGGTTCCATTCTCTGAAACTTGATTCCTTCCTGAGCCAGATACTAGCCTTGGGATTTGTGAAGACCCACACACCCAAGTTTTGAACTCTGTCACAGCTTGCTTGGTTTTGACTTCCGGTGGCTTTTGGTTCCTGACAGGTTTGGTTCATTGGCGTATCACTCAATCAGATCGTAATATTTACTGAGCAGCTTTTTTCTTTTCTTTCCTTTTCTTTTAAAGATTTTATTTACTTCTTCAGGATCACAACCTGAGCCAAAGGCAGATGCTCAATCACTGAGCCACCCAGGTGCCCCTACTGAGCAGCTTTTATGAACAGGTTACATGTGCTTAATCTCTAAATTACTCTTATCTCATTTTATAGACACTGTGGCAGATTCCAGAAGGAGTCTCCCTCCGAGAAGCCTCTACCCTGCCTGTATCCTATGGCACTGCTCTTTTGGCTCTGGAGCATCGGGCATGCACTCAGCCTGGGTAAGAGGCTGTGTAGACAAGCCAGAGCTAGATGGTATCTCTTTCTGATATCAGAAGTGCCCAGCAAGACCTTGCTCCTACCTTTCCCCTCCCTGACCTTTATTTTTTAACTTTTTTAACGATTTTATTTATTTGAGAGAGAGAGAAAATATGAACGTGGAGGGATGGGGCTTGGGAAAGGAAGAAGAGACTCCCGCTGAGCAGGGAGCCTGATACAGCACTCCATCCTGGGACCTGAGATCATAACCTGAGCCGAAGGCAGATGCTTAACCTATTGAGCCACACAGGTGCCCCTCCCCTCCCTGACCTTTAGCTCTTGTTCAGCTTGGGTGAGGAAAGGCCAAAGGAAGGTAATGACCAGACGGGTCTGGTGACAGCGGGGTTATCTTTTTGTCTGAGATGGAATGGTGGACTATGAAATTGGCCAATATGAATTTGGAGAAATACCTCTTCAAACCTGGCCACTCTGGAGATCACCTCCTAGAAACTCTTACATGTGAGAGAGTTGGTTTATGTAAACTTGTTTCCATCTGGTTTTAATGGAATCCTATGGTATTTGTTCTTGTGAGGCGTGACTGGGTGTGCCTACGGTGGTATTTCAAACTCAAAGGTGCAGTGGTTTCCTACTTCACCTGAAATATATGCCTTTTGCCCTTTTCAGAGAGACTCAGGATTGCTCCAGAGAAGTGACTTTAGTTGAACTGTGGCCATTCCTTGATCATCACCATCAAAGATGCAGCAATGTTTAGTATGAGAATGATTTTAAGACGGAATTTCTGAAGCAGACATTGGAGTGGTAGCTCAAAGGAAGGGTTGCTCCTGGCATGATGAAGAGGTTCCCTAGAGGGATTAAGGAATATTTTTCCTAGGAAGTCTTCAACCCAACCAAATTCTCACCAATCAAGCAGTCACAGATATAACCTAGCCCTAACGTCTAGAGACTGGGTCTCCATGAAATGTTGAATGAAATGGCCTTTAAGTTCTCTTCTTGCTTTAAAGTGGTCATGAAATCATACGATTGGATGATTTTTGAAGGTTTCTGAAGTAATGCCCACCTTTCTCTGGCAGAGAAACTGTTTTAGTGACGGCAGCTGCTGGAGCCACCGGCCTTGCAGTGATTGATGTGGCAACGAATATTCTTCAGGCTAAGGTATTTGCATGGTAGGGTGTCCATTAAAAAAAAACCACAAAGCACCACACCTCCAGTTTTCAAACACAGAATATATTCATTTGTTCATTCATAAATATCATAGGTAAGGCACTGGGATATAAAGTAATCCAGAGTAGGGTCTTGCCATCTTATTTGCTTGCGGACTGGTGAGGGGACCTGGGAGTAGATCACTCATCCTTCCAGTTACTAGAACCTGGTGAGAGCTGACTTGCTTCATGGCCTCTGTAGATTCTGTTCCCTTTCCCTGTAATGCTCTTCTGAACTGTCTCCCCCTGCACTTCAAAAAAAATTTTTTTTTTTAAAGATTTTATTTATTTATTCATGAAGACACAGAGAGAAGCAGGCTTCCTGTGGAGAGCCTGCTGCAGGACTTAATCCCAGGACCCCAGGATCACTCCCTGAGCTCAAGGCTGACTCTCAGCCACTGAGCCACCCAGCAACCCCTGCTGGACTTCAAACTTAAATTCAGATGTCATTTCTTCAGGGAATTATTCTTTATCCTATAGGAGATGTTAATCTCTCCTCCATCCCCCTGCTCCCCCACTTCCCCAGCTGTTTGTAGGTGGTCTCCTAGCATGCTGTACATCTCTCTTTCGTGGTACGAACCTCAGTGTGTGGTTTATCTTTTACCTGTGTCATGATTGGATTAATGTCTCCCTCCTACTCAACTGTAATCCCACTGAAGGCAAGGACAGTGTCTGCATGGCACATTACGGTAGTCCCAGCAGCTGGCATGGTACCTAGACCATAGTAGGCTCTCAATAACTATTTCTTTTCTTTTTTTTTTTTAAAGATTTATTTATTCATGATAGACACAGAGAGGGGGGGGCAGAGACACAGGCAGAGGGAGAAGCAGGCTCCATGCGGGGAGCCTGATGCGGGACTCGATCCCGGGACTCCAGGATCGTGCCCTGGGCCAAAGGCAGGCACCAAACCGCTTAGCCACCCAGGGATCCCCTTTTTAAAAAGATTTTATTTACTTATTAGGAGAGACACAGAGAGACAGAGGCAGAGGGAGAAACAGGCTCCACACAGGGAGCCTGATGTGGGACTCGATCCCGGGACTGCAGGATCATGCCCCAAGCTGAAGGTAGATGTCCAACTGCTGAGCCACCCAGGCACCCTGGAGAAATAGTTATTGAGGCATGATCAGCTTGGGGCATGATCCTGCAGTCCCGGGATTGAGTCCCGCATCAGCACTGGGTGTTATGCTATATGTTGGCAAATCGAACTCCAATAAAAAAATATACAAAAAAAAAAAAACCCAAACTATTTCTTGAGTGAAAGAATAAATAAAGAAAGACCGAAGTCTCTGCAAGGGCATCATTCTGAGGCGGTAGGTGTCAGATAAGGAGGATTTCTTAGAGACAGCAGACATTTAGGCTGACTTCTGAAGGACTGGTAGCAGTTGAATAAAGGAAGGAAGGAAGGGAAGGCCATTTCAGTGGTGGGAGGGGATATTATCAGAAACACGGGATCTCACATGATGCATTCCCTGGAATTGCGAAGTAGCGTCTATGGAGCAAAGGGTCTGTGGGAGAATGGTGGAAGATGACTCTAGGGAGGTGAGCAGAGACAAGATCAGGAGGTACTGAAGAATTTGAACCCTTAGTGGAAGCTATCAGGAGGTATGAAGGACTTTAACCAAGGAGGTACCATGGTCATGTTTGCATTTTGCCAAGTTCATTCTGGTAGCAGTGGGGATGCAGGATAGGGCAAAGTCAGGGGTAGTCTGGAGGCAGTAGGGCAGCCTCTTGGAGCAATCCAAGCCAGTCCAGTGGTGATGATACTTGACCCAAAGCACTGGAAGCAATGAATTGAGAGATACTGAAGTAGAAGAAAATAGAGAGTTTGATCCTAATACAGTTGAAGGAACAAGGAATTTGAAGCTAGTCTGACCTAGGTTCAGATTCCAACACTGCCTCTAGCTTAATTGCTTCGCTTTCCTCTTTGGTACAATAAACCTTTCCTCATATGGGGTCGTGGGAATATTGAAATTACACGTGCAATATGCCTGTTAGAGGGCATGGCATGTTGGTAAGAATCTCTTAAAAAGGATTCCTATTATTATTAGACATTGAGTGGGAAGGAGCAAACTAGGTTAACTTGTGGATTTGCCATTTATTGCAGTTGAGAACACAGGAGGAAATGGTGAGCTCAGTTTTGGAAGTATTAAGTGTGAGGTTTCTGTGGAACATGTAGTTGGGATATCCAGAAGGCACCGAGATACCCAGGTTTGGAGATAATTGGATTGCTCTGGAATTTCTTCAGGTGGCGTCTCTCCTGTTTTGCATTAAGTTCTTTTTGGGAAGGGCATATGAGTTCTGAAAGCAATTTTAGATACCAAGAAGCTCTCCATGGAATATTAACACATTTCATGTCAAAGTAAGGGCTTTTAGCACCTCTTAGTGGGGAGACCAAAATTAGTCTCATTGTCTAGAACTGCTGACTACCATTCCTAGGAAGATAAAATTGCACCATTTGTTTTGAATAGTGATAGTAGGTTAAGTAGAGAGAAAAATTGACTTCAATTCAGATATTAAAATTAATCCAAGCTGTATTTTCTTGAGTAGCCATAATGGTGTGTGTGTGTGTGTGTGTGTGTGTGTGTGTTTTAAGATTTTATTCATTCACTTGACAGAGAGAGAGAGCAAAAGAGAGCGAGCAGAAGCAGGGGGGAGCAGCAGGCAGAGGGAGAGGGAGAAGCAGACTTCCTGCTGAGCTGAGAGCCCAATGCAGAGCTCCATCCCAGGACCCCGGTATCATGACCCTAGCCGGAGGCAGATGCTCAACTGACTGAGCCACCCACGCACCCCAACCATAGTGGTTTTAAGCAAAAGCAAACAACAACAAAATAATAAAAATAACTTTAAAAGTGTCATCATGCCGCCCACTTGGAACAGGTTATTTTGAGAACAACCTCTATTCACAGCGTTTCATATTGCTTTCAAAGTGCCTCCACACCAATTACCCCTGATCCTGACAAACCCCTGGGAGAGGGGTAATGTGTTTATTATCCCTATTTCACAGATAAAGAAAGTGAGGCACCAGGGGATACAATGGTTTGTGGCAGGTCTCAATGGCGCCCTTGTGAGAATCAAGATTGGTGTCAAGTCCCTGACCCTAGCCTGGTGTCTGCCCTCTGTGGTGCTGTGTGAAGCTACTTGAGGGTTCCTCTGGGGAGTACTTGAGGGTGGCTTTTGGTTTCAAATAGTTATGGGTGAGTTTGCAATCTTCTAAGGGCACTGATGGTGCTGTGTGTTTGAATGCAAGTTCTCGATGTCACCTTGGGGCCAAACTGCTCGGGCTGGTGGTTGCTATCCAGTAACAAGGTACCTCTAGGCAGTGCTTACATGTTTGAAGCTTTTCTGGAGGCTTCCGAACCCCACACAGCCTCACAGTCTGGCCCATGGTCATCCTTGCCCGGCGTTAAGCATGGTTTTCTCCCAGGGTGATGGAATGGAAAAGCATGGGCTTTGGAGTCCGGCAGCACCACTGGGTTTGAATGGTTTTCTACCACCTACTTCCTGACTAATCCTGAGTTAATTACTTAACCTCTAGGTCTGTGTCTCCATCTATAGAATGGGAGTAATTATACCTCCCTACCCCCCATAATGTTCTATGAGGCTTAAATAGAATAAATGATTGTGTATGTGCAGCAATAGATTCAATTTATCTAACACTTTGTTTTCCAAGTGCTTTACGGACAGTATTGCATTTGCTTTTTTAAAATAAATCTTGCTTTACGGACGAGGTAACTGGAGCTTAGGGAAGCTGGTGGACAGCATAGAGGTTAAAAGTATGAAGTCTGGAGATGGACAACCTGGGGTTGGGTCCCAGTTCTGTTTCTCATTAGTTGTGTGATGTTGGGCCTCCCATTAGTTATGTGACCTTGGGCAGGTTCCTTAACTTCTTTTGCTTTAGTTTCTTCATCTCTAAAATGGGGGATGCTAATAGTGTGTGTATCATTGGGCTACTAAGACTAAGAGAGTTATTAATATATGCAAAGCATTTACAATAGTACCTGGCACATAGTAAGCTTTATGTAAATTAGTTCCTATTAAGTAATTTGTTGTAGGTGACACTGCTAGTTATTAGCAGAGCCAGAATTTTAACTCAGGTCTTTCTAACTTCAAGATCTTTCCACTGAATTGTGTTTTACCCTCTGGGAAGCCTTCTGAGATCTCAAACTAGGTTGGATACCTCTCGTTTGAACTTCTGCCACCATCTGTACTTCCCCACCATCACACTGCTGTATCTTGCTATCTTGACTCATAGCAGGTACTCAATAAATGATGGTTTAATCTATTTTTGGGAAAGACTTTCTGATTATCTCCTGAACCATCTCCTAGCTAGACTCATTGGGTTTCCAGGATTCCTGGAAATGTGGATCCCATGGCCAGTGGGTGTGGAGGGCCAAGTGTGATGGTGCTGTGTGTTGGCCCTGATGTGTAGGATTGGGGCTTGTCCTAGGGCAGCAAGGTCACACTGTTTTTTTTTTTTTTTTTGGTCACACTGGTTTTGTTGGTTATTCCCTTTGGTTGAAAGCTGGGTGGGTAGGATGAGCCTCTCTTGGTACATATCCTGGATCACCAGAAGCTTTGTGTTCTCTATGCAGGTGATAGCTGCTGTCGGAAGTGACGAGAAGTGCCAGCTTGTGATGCAGAAGGGCGCGCAATCCGTCGTGAACTATAGTCAGGGTGGCCTGAAGGAGGCTGTGAGGAAGCTGGTGGGCAGTGTTGGGGTGAATGTGGTCATCGACACAGTGGGAGGAGATGTCTTCCTGGAGGCACTCCGCAGGTGCATGTGATGGTCTTTCCAGAGGGGGCTGGACCTGGGGGTCTGCTAAAGCCTTTTCAGACCTGTCTTCCTTCTAGTCTTACTTCTCTTCCATTTTAGCTGCTCACTTTTCTTGTAGGCATTGGCTTCAACGAGAACAGCTGAGTGGGAGGGTGAAAAGGAATAGAAGCAGAGGGAAAATCAGGAAATGCTTAAATATAGAAAAACAAGATATCCAGCTGGAAAATATCCAAAAAATGACTGCAGACTCTCTGGCAATATTGAATGCTTTAGAAATTATGCACGTGTTAAATTCAGCTATGCCGGCTCCCATTTACTTTATATATATATATATATATATAGTGTGGGTAATTATCGGGATCACTGTTCAGATGTTAGAATGACCTGAGTGGCAGGCCCTGGTTCACTATGCACCAAAGTACAGACTTTCTTTCCTTTCCTTTCCTTTCCTTTCCTTTCCTTTCCTTTCCTTTCCTTTCCTTTCCTTTCCTTTCCTTTCTTTCTTTCTTTCTTTCTTTCTTTCTTTCTTTCTTTCTCTCTCTCTCTCTCTCTTTCTCTCTTTCCCTCTTTTCTTTCTTTCTTTCACAGACTCTTGATCTCACTGCTTTCAGAGGCAGCCAGCAGTTTAGGTATCTCCTTGATTTGGTTTATTTAAAAAAAATCATTAGAGTTTTAGTGGATCTGTTGTATCCACACCAATTCTCATTCTGTCTTTTTTTTTTTTTTTAAGATTTTATTTATTTATTTGAGACAGAGAGAGCACAAGTGGGGGGCAGAGGCAGAGAGAGAGGTATAAGCAGATTCCATGCTGAACGGGGAGCCCAATGTGGGGCTAGATCCCAGAACCCTGAGATCATGACCCTAGCCGACGACAGACACCCAACTGACTGAGCCCCTCTCATTCTGCTTTTAACCAGGGACTCCAGCGTGTTCTGATAATACTAGTTTCATTTCTCATGTCATCCTGGCAAGCACAATTTTGTGGTTTATTTCAGTTTAAAGTGGAAGAAACAGAAGCAGAGAGAACAGCTTTCCTACGGAAGGGACCCACTTGGCTCTAGGGCCACTGAGCATCACTGTACTGTGCTGAGTGGTACTGTGGAATTGTGGTACTGTGCTCAGAGAAGCAAAGGAAGGAGTGTGTTGACTCAGTGGGGAGCCAGGCCAGAGAACTGCTCTCATGCTCTTCTTGCCTTCTGGGTAACGGGTAATAGTGTTATCACAAAGGCTTCTTGTTTTTCTCTAAAGAAGAAAAGCAAAAGGCAAAAGCCAAACAAAGATACACATATTCTTTATCAAAGATGTTTACAAAATTATTTTATTTTTTTAAAAGATTTTATTTATTTATTTATTCATGAGACACACAGAGCAAGAGTCAGAGACACAGGCAGAGGCAGAAGCAGGGAGCCCGATGTGGGACTTGATCCTGGGATTCCGGGAATCACACCCTGGGCCAAAGGCAGGTGCTAAACCGCTGAGCCACCCAGGAGTCCCTACAAAATTTATTTTTATAACTTCTTACTTAGTGTGAACTGTATAGTGCTTTTCATGGTAGGTTGCAGAAAACTTTCATGAATTTCTACAGATTCTTCAAAATTCTTTAGAGCAGCACATAACTTAAGGAGTCCTAAAGTAAATCTTTGTGTGAAGCACATAATGCTTCATGAAAGTGTCTGTCTTCATTCCTGCTTCTGAAGTTCGAAATCTTACAGTGTTTGTAACTTGCTTATTTCATTTAGCACAATGTCCCCAAAGTTTATCCATGTCATAGCATGAGACAGGATGTCCTTCTTTTTTAAGGCTGAACAATATTCTATTGTATGTATATAACACATTCTGTTTATTCATCTATCAGTTGGTGGACGTTTGGGTTGCTTCTCCCTCTTGGCTATGGTAGATAATGCTGCTGAGAATGCGGGAGTGCAACTATGTCTTCAGGGCCTTGTTTTCAGTCATTTTGGATCTAGACCCAGAATGGTATTGCTGGATTATGTGGTAGTTCTATTTTTTTTTAAGATTTTATTTATTTATTTTAGAGAGAGAAAGAGAGAGGGTACACTTAGGCAAGCAGGAGGAGGAGCAAAGGGAAAGGGAACAAGAATCTGGAGCAGTCTCTGGGCTGAGCAGGGAGCCTGATCCCATATAGGGCTCTGTCTCAATACCATGAAATCATGACCTGAGCTGAAACCAAGAGTCAGATGCTTAATCTATTGAGCCACCCAGGTGCCCCTGGTAGCTCTCTTTAATTTTCTTTCTTTTTTTTTTTTTTAAAGATTTTATTTATTTATTCATAAGACAGACAGAGAGAGAGAGAGAGAGAGAGAGAGACAGGCAGAGGGAGAAGCAGGCTCCCTGCAGGAAACCCGACGTGGGATTCGATCCTGTGGCCCCAGGATCAGGCCCTGGACTGAAGGCGGCGCTAAACTGCTGAGCCACCCGGGCTGCCCTCTCTTTAATTTTCTGAGGAACCTCTATACTAACACTTGGTATTTTCTGTTGTTGTTGTTTTTATGGTAGCCATTCTGATCAGTGTGACTATACATTGCTAATTTTTAAAATAATTTCTATTCCTTGTACTTTCTTGCCCTAGCCTGGCGTGGGAGGGCAGGATCGTGGTGGTGGGTTTTGCTGGAGGAACCATTGCTTCTGTGCCCGCCAACCTTCTGCTCCTGAAGAATGTCTCAGCCATGGGGCTGTACTGGAGCCGATACAAAGAGCAGAACTTTCCCATCTTCTCCAGAACCCTGTCCTCGGCTCTTCAGTACTGCCAGCAAGGGCGCATCCAGCCACACATCGGAGCAGTTTTTAAGCTGGAGAAGGTGAGATACTCTGAAGGGATATGATGTGGCTAACGCCAGGACATCTCTGGTGTCAAGCTACTGGATAGTTTCTCTCTGGATTCCATAGATCCTCCTTTTATGGATTGAAAAGGTACAAACACGGTGCAGAATTATGGGGTCTCACAGGCTGCAGGGTGACAGGATTTCTCCTTGTCTTCAGGGTTGTGTGGCTGTTGCCTCAGGCCTCATGAGCCACCTGGGAAACTGAATTTGCACCAGCCATAAAGGAGCTAGATTTCAAGGGCTCTACCTCTGTCATTGGTTTCTTAAACAGAAGGACGTGATGGAACTTTAGAAAATAATTTACCCGTGTTTGTATGAACTCTGAACTCCATAACATACAAGTCTTAGAAGGAAGCATTTAACTTGACCTTTGATTTTAGAAAACAGATGCTTTAAAGTACAGCCAGATGATCTAAGCTGAGGTTCTGTGAACAAAACACTAAATCATGCCCCGCGTCATAGGACTGTAATTCATCCATTAGTCACCGCAGTTAATTTTGTTGGCTATGCACTCCCTTTCTTCATTCCCTCTCAGCCCCATTAATGTGGCTTAAACTTCCTCCAAAGTGTAATTGCATATGCAATATAGTTGTAAATGTGAATCTGTTAGGCATTCACTGTGAAGTCCTTTTTTTTCTTTTCGGTTTCATTTGTTTAATGCTCAAAAAACTGTTTTGGTAACTCCAGTCAGCTATCCTTGGGCGCGATGTTTTATTCATATGCAGATTTGTGGGGCCTGGAGCTGAGCTGGCAGTGCCAGACTTCCTTGCTCACCATGCCTTCCATTTTTATGTTTTTCTCTAGGATGGGGCATATTCTCAAATCTGGTTTACTTTCTTCCTCCTCCTCCTCCTCTTCTTCTTCTTCTTTTTTAAAGATTTTATTTATTTAAAAAAAAAAGATTTTTTTTATTTATTCATGAGAGACACACAGAGAGAGGCAAGACACAGGCAGAAGGAGAAGCAGGCTTCCTGCGGAAAGCCCAATGTAGGACTCGATCCTAGGACCCTGGGATCACACCCTGAGCCAAAGGCAGATGCTCCATCACTGAGCCGCCCAGGCGCCCCTGGATTATTGTTCTAATCACTCACGTTGAAGTTCTCTCTTCTCTTAAACATGAATTAGCTATTTAATTACTGACTCCCTGTCAGCTTCTGTTTGCCCTGCTCCTTTCCATTGACTGCTCAGAATGTAGGGTTTTTCTGGTCTTTCCCAGCCTGCTGACCTTCCTGCTGTCACCGGGCCCTCTGAAACCATTCTCCCTAACGATTTCATCTCATTCACACACCCTCTGTTGACTATTTCTTCTCTCTCTCTCTCTTTTTCCAGTTTGTAAACTACTTAGAGGAAGGTAGTAGAAGTGGCAGCTCCTATATATTTAGGTGCATACTGAGGGTCAAGCACTCTGACATCTATTTTCTCATTTCATCTTCATAATGCTCCCTTGAGGTACGAACCATTTTTATCATGTTTTATAGAGGAAGAAATCAAGACTCGTGGAGGCTAAGAAACCCGCTTGGTATTATGTAGTAAGTGACAGACCTGGAATCCAGGCCAGGTGGGTTCGACACCAGATTGGGTGCCTTATGGCTATATCGGACTCTCCTCAAACAAGCCAGGAAGTTGCTTCTTACAAACCTTATTCTAGAGTATAAAGTTTGTCCATCTATCAGAGAATTGTCTATGTGAAAGAGCTATCTTACAGTTAAAACAACCAAAAACCTTGAACTTTCCAAGCACTACCAGAATTTATATATTTTGTTCTTTTACACTGAAGATGACTAAGGGCACCTGGGTGGCTCAGTCTGTTAAATGTCTGCCTTCAGCTTAGATCATAATCTCAGGGTTCTGGAATCAAGCCCCAGGTTGGGCTCTCTGATCAGTGGGGAGCCTGCTTCTCTCTCTGCCCATTCTCCCAGTTGGCTCTCTCTCTCTCTCTCTCTCTCAAGTAAGTAAAATCTTTAAAAAAAATAAAATGAAGATGATTAAATGAATGTAAATAGTTAATTTCACTTAACCTGGGTAATATTTTTCATGTAAATCAGTTAACGTATTAGAAAAAACTATCAGAACCTGCCTAGACTCAGAAAATGACCACTGTATATATGTAAACAAGTATATACGTATAATGACCAGAGATACCAGTGCTTTCTAGCTTGATTTTCTCCTTAATCTATGGGCTTATAGATTTGACCTTGATAGTTGATATTATCAGTAGTATAGTATGACTACATACTTTGTACCATAACCTACCTAATAGACATGAGGTATGAACTTCCATAGCACTCAGTGCTTTTTCTTTGCCTACTTGTCATTGTTCAATGCTTGTCATTCCCATAGACCATAAACTCCATGTGGGCAGGGGCCATGCATCTCCTTGTCTCCAGATGCTGGCAGGTACTCATGTATCTGTTGAATGACTGATTAAGAGTAAGGGGGCTATCAGGTCAGACCACCTGAGTTCAGATCCTGACCCTAACACTTGACTGGCTATGGACAAATTGCTCACATCTATGTGCCTTAGTTTCCTCATCTGTAATGGGGGCAGTGATACACTCTGTCTACTGAGGTCTTTGTGAAGATCAAATAAGATAACACATATAAAAGTACATAGCAAACAATATATTGTTTAAAGCAAAACACCTGGCCATGATAAAATACAGAGTTGAGCTTTTTCAGTTCGCATGAAATGTAACACATTTACGTTAACATTTCATGGGTAGGAGTAGAGAGACAGTCTTTGGATTTTGAATTTTAACTAGAATTTATTGTTTTCTGAAGTGTTGCATCTGTGCCATGATGGGTAGGCCAGGAATGAGCCCTGTGATCTGTCCAGGAGATGGCCTTATTCAGATGTGCCAAGTCTGCTTTCTGTAGGGAGATGCTCACACACGTCTCAACTAGACATACTACTTACTTCTCAGAGATCTGAACTTGTTTATCATGTAAAGGTCAGGTGAGGTCACTACGTGAATAGATTTGATAGATAGAAATTGTTTACTTAAGTTTTGTGAGTGTATCTGTGGAATATTCTTTTTTTTTTTTAAATATTTATTTATTTATTCATGAGAGCGGCAGAGACACAGGCAGAGAGAGAAGCAGGCTCCCCGCGGGGAGACCAATGCTGGACTCAATCCCAGGACCCCAGGATCACACCCTGAACTGAAGGCAGACATTCAACCACCGAGTCACCCAGGCATCCCATTCTGTGGAATATTCTTAAAAATTAAGTTACTCTTTAAGTTTAGGTAATGTATTAATTTGAATCCACTATTCCATACCTATTTTCTGGGGTTCTCCATACTTGCCAGCGACACCTGCCCCACGCCTTGGCCACTTGTCACACTTTTCTACAGATGGCTCACATCACTTACCCTGTTGTCATATAGTCAGACCCTTTCCCTAAGACTCATCTCCTAACACTTGGTGGTTGCGTGCTTTCTCTGGCAGGAGGTCCGATCCTAGGCAGGGCCTCCACTGTGCCTTTCAGCGGGTGGGAGCTGCTGCAGACCTGGTGCACAGTTCTGGTCTTAAGGAAGCGCTGGCTTCCCCAGAAATTGGATGTGGAGGTCTGGGTAATGCAACTGGGAAGTTGTAGATAGAGTTTACTGCATGGGACAGGATTTGACAAATGAAAGACAGGAGACAAATTGCTGCCTTTGTTTCTTCTAATAGAGTATGTTGACATGCAGTAGGTTCTATATGGCCTCTCTGGAGAGGTCCTCTAGCTGTATGTCCCCCCGGAGCTGTGACCAGTTCAGGATCAGTAACACACACCTCCTTCCTTGATTCACTTCACCTTTTCCCTCACCCTTGTTTCCCTGGGATTCCAGTGAAGCATTAGGGCATAGATTTTTTTTTCTTTTTTAAAATTTTATTTATTTTTTATTTATTTTTTTATTTATTTATGATAGTCACACACACAGAGAGAGAGAGGCAGAGACATAGGCAGAGGGAGAAGCAGGCTCCATGCACCGGGAGCCCGACATGGGATTTGATCCCTGGTCTCCAGGATCGTGCCCTGGGCCAAAGGCAGGCGCCAAACCGCTGCGCCACCCAGGGATCCCAGATTTTTTTTTTTTCCTAAAGATTTATTTATTTGAGAGAGCGAGCAGGGAGAGGGCCAGAGGGAGACAGAGAATCCCAAGGAGACTCCCCACTGAGCACAGAGCCTGACCTGGGCTCCATCCCACAACCCTGAGATCATGATCTGAGCCAAAATCAAGAGTGGGACTTAACCTACTGAGCCTAACCAAGTGCCCCTAGGGCATACATTTTGACTAAGCTCTATTTTCTTTTCTTTTCTTTCTTTTTTTTCTTTTTTTTTTAAGATTTTATTTATTTATTTGACAGAGAGAGCACAAGTAGGGGGAGTGGCAGACTCCCTGCTGAGCAAGGAGCTCCACTTGAGACTTGATCCCAGGACTCTGAGATTGTGACCTGAGCTGAAGGCAGATGCTTAACTGACTGAGCCACCCAGGTGCCCCTAGGCTCTATTTTATTTATTTTTATTTTTTTAAAAGATTTTACTTATTTATTCATGAGAGAGAGAGAGAGAGGCAGAGACACAGGCAGAGGGAGAAGCAGGCTCCATGCAGGGAGCCTGATGTGGGACTCGATCCAGGACTTCAGGATCACGCCCTGCCCCGAAGGCAGGCGCCAAACCGCTGAGCCACCCAGGGATCCCCTAGGCTCTATTTTCTAAGGAACCAAGACTGACAGTTCTGAAGATTTGTTTACATTTGTGTTTAATAACACATGGCTTGAGATTTCTTTTTTTAAATGTTAGGTTTATTGAGATATCATCTACATTTGGTAAAATTCACTCTGAGCTTTGACAAATACATGTATTCATGTAACTACCCCACTGCAGTCGAGATATAGAACATTGCCATCACTCTGAAAAGTGCCCTGTGCCCCTTTGTCATCAATCCCCTTCTCCTATCCCACAGCCCCTGGCAACCATGGGTCTGTTT